TATTAAATGTCTCTGCATCAGTTTTCTCCATCTCCGAAAAAATTGATCTCGAGTTCTCTTCTGGATAAAGACTTCATCTTGTATGGACAACATAAGCATTATCATTGAACTAATTGCTCGATATTAACTAAACAAGAAAAATCGTGAGGTTCTTTATATCTAAACAACTTGGACATGTAACCATGAATCTTTGGGAGTTTCTTGAGGGTGTAGATGATCTCCAAATCATCTTGGTTGAATAAATTAAGAAGATTCAATCATTTAACATTAGTTTCTCAATTTGGTTTCAGATATGTGAAGTGAAAGTACAAGGGAATCTGTCTGAACTTAATACAATATCAAAAACAGTGAATCAAAGGTCTTTAATTTGTGAATTTACTATCAAAATCTCATGTACATAATTTCAAAATTAGTGGCAAAAAGACCATTATTTTATTTAGCTTATTTTTCTCACTTTGTTTAAATGTATATAATTTTTTTTAAATACATTTTATTGTAAAAAATATAAAAACTCAATTGTTGTTGTTTAAGAATTAAAGAGAAAATTTTCTCAAAAGCTTAGGCTTTGTTTTTATTATCTAAGTCAAGATGGATTTCCTTACTTAGTAAACATTGAATATATGTTTTTTGTGCACGATTTCTTAAGATTAGGTTTGTGAACTCATTAAAAAAACTTTCACACCTTTGAGTGACGTTCTTCGATCCACCATTTTTCATCCATCGACCATCCAATGATCACATCTGAGAGAGACAGCCAGCGGATTGGATCTATCTCATTCTTCTTCAAGTCCATCTACTGATCAAATAAGCAGACTTGCACAGCCAATTATTTGATCCTATCAACTCACCATTTATAAGATCATCTCTTGATCTTATATAAGATCTTCATCAAGCGAGTGCACTTGAATGACTTCTTAAGAGCTTTCAGATGATTGGCCAAGTCTTCTGGATGCCTCACATAAGTATGCATAGTTCCATTTTTGGAAATTTCATAAAGGGACTTGTTTAAAGTTAATCAAGTTTGTAAGATGGTCCCAGTCAGGTATGATCAGCATGGATTAGGTCTTGGTTTTATGTTCCTTGATGGGTCAATAATAAGGGCCGAGTTAGCTCTAAGCTTAACTCCTCATGGTTGAGTCAGAATCCCTCAAAAGATGCACATATGTTATTGTCGAGCCACTGGAAAAATTGTAGATTTGTGGGCTTGTATGGGCTCGTCCTCCTAGGGACTACACTTGTATGTGTTCTTGAGAGGCTGGTAAATATATTACAACGTGGCTTGGGGGTGGTTGATTCACCTTGTACTTGGGGAGTGGTTGATTCACCTTTGATCTGGTGGTTTCTCATTGTTTAAGCTAGTTTTTTTATGTGCATTTGGTGTGTCCAGCAGGTAAGAACCTTGTGTCACCTTCTCTTCCTCCTCTTGAATGGTATTCTACTGATGATCTCGTCATATCTCCTTCTTTAAGAAAAATTGTCCTCAAAACTTGTTCCAAATATTTAGTGTTGTTCTGTTGTAAGAATCTGGTTGGACATCTTGTATTGGTTATTCCAACGATTTAGTGTTGTTGTTTGAATCTGGTTGGAAATCGTGTGCTAGTTTTACATTGCAACTGCAAGTGACAGAAGATAATTAAACTCCTCTGGTAGATCAGGTGGCTCTAGCTCTTGGTCTTTGTTGTATAGTTCATCTAGCAAACAATTTTCTTCTACCCATCTTTTTTCAATTATGTGCACACTTTTGTTTATTGCACCCTTTTCCTTTTGGTCTGCTGGTTCGAAACTGTTCTAAGCTTCGTACCTTTTAGATGATATCTTGTATAGAATCTTCTCATAATCTATTAGTAAAAATCGTTCCAACATCAATAATTTCATTTGGCGCCAACTCTTGATTGGTCTCTTTTTTATCTGTGCCTTTGGATAACAAATTTATCCCACCACACAGCAGCAGATTTCTTTAATATGATTGGTACCATCTTAACTTGTTTATTCTTAGGCACCCATGATATCGAAGAATCAACCAACATCAATCTGTCAATCTAAAATCTCCTAAGCTCCTATAGTTCCGTAGAACAATGGAATGTCAGCATTTACCTTATAATCATAATTGTTCTGTTGATTTCATTCATCAACTATATCTTCCTCCACAAGTTCTTCATCACGAGAACTAGAATTTTTGACATTAATATCATGGTCCACCATGTTAACCCTTATTGGTTCCACAACAGGATTGTTTCTACCATATTGAATCCTAGTTGTTAGAGTCTGGTTGGACATATTGTAACGATTTAGTGTTGTTGTTTGAATCTAGTTGGACATTGTGTGCTAGTTTTACATTGTTAACTGTAAGTGACAGAAGACACTTAAACTCCTCTGGTGGATCAGGTAGCTCTAGCTCTTTGTCTTTGTTGTATATTTCATCTAGTAAACAATTTTCTTCCGCCCATCTTTTTTAAATTTTGTGCACCCTTTTGTTTATTGCACTCTTGTTTTTTGTCTGCTGGTTCAAAACTGTTATGAGATGTGTACCTCCTAAATGATATCCTGTAGAGAATCACTGCTCATAGTCTATTTGAAAGAATCGTTCCAACATCAATAATTTCATTCGGCACCAAATCTTTATTGGTCACTTTTTTTGTCTTTGCCTTTGGATAACAAGTTTATCCCACCACACAGCATGAGTCTTCTTTAATATTATTGGTACTATCTTAACTTGTTTATTCTTAGGCACCCATAGTATCAAAAAATCTACCAACATCGATCTGTCAATCTAAAAACTTCTATGCTCATATAGTTCTGAAGAACAATAGGATGTCAGCCTTTACGTTATAATCATAATTGTTATGTTGATTCCATTCATCAACTATATCTTCCTCCACAAGTTCTTCATCATGAGAACTTGAATTTTTGACAACATCACGTTCCACCATGTTAATCCTAATTGGTTCCACGTCACGATTGTTTCTACCATGTTGAATTTTAGTTGTTAGAATATGGTTGGACATCTTGTACTGATTGTTCCAACGATTTAGTGTTGTTGTTTGAATCTAGTTGGATAACATGTGGTAGTTTTATATTGTCAAATGCAAGTGACAGAAGACACTTAAACTCCTCTGGTGGATCAGGTGGCTCTAGCTCTTTGTCTTTGTTGTATAGTTCATCTAATAAACAATTTTCTTCCACCCATTTTGTTTCAGTTATGTGCACCCTTTTGTTTATTGCACTCATTTCCTTTTGGTCTGCTGGTTCGAAAGTGTTCTGAGCTGCGTACCTCTTAAATGATATCTTGTAGAGGATCTGCTCATAGTCTATTAGTAAGAATCGTTCCAACATCAATAATTTCATTGCCAAATCTTGATTGGTCCTTTTTTTGTCTTTGCCTTTGGATAACAAGTTTATCCCACCACACAGCAGCAGTCTTCTTTAATATGATTGATACCATCTTAACTTGTTTATTCTTAAGCACCCATGATATCGAAGAATCTACCAACATCGATCTGTCAGTCTAAAAACTCTTATGTTCATGTAGTAACATGCAATAATGGTATATCAGCCTTTACGTTATAGTCATAATTGTTATGTTGATTCCATTCATCAACTATATCTTCCTCCATAAGTACTTCATCACGAGAACTAGAATTTTTGACAATAACAACATGTTTGACCATGTTAACCCTAACTGGTTCCACAACACGATTGTTTCTACCATGTTGAACCCTAGTTGTTAGAATCTGGTTGGACAGCTTGTACTGGTTGTTCCAACGATTTAGTGTTGTTGTTTGAATCTTGTTGGACATTGTGTGCTAGTTTTATATTGTCAGCTGAAGACATTTAAACTCCTCTGGTGGAACAGGTGGCTCTAGCTGTTTGTCTTTGTTATATAGTTCATCTAGTAAACAATTTTCTTCCACCCATCTTTTTTCAATTTTGTGCACCATTTTGTTTATTGCACTCATTTCCTTTTGGTCTGCTGGTTCAAAACTGTTCTGAGCTGTGTACCTTTTAATTGATATCTTGTAGAGAATCTGCTTATAGTTTATTAGTAAAAATCATTTCAACGTCAATAATTTTATTTGGCGCCAAATCTTGATTAGTCCTTTTTTGTCTTTGCCTTTGGATAACAGGTTTATCCCACCACACATCAACAGTCTTATTTCATCTGATTGGTACCATCTTAACTTGTTTATTCTTATGCACCCATGATATCGAAGAATCTACCAACATCAATATGTCAATCTAAAAACTCATATGCTCCTATAATTCCGTAAAACAATGGAATACAGCTTTTACGTTATAATCATAATTGTTCTGTTGATTCCTTTCATCAACTATATCTTCCTCTACAAGTTCTTCATCACGAAAACTAGAATCTCTAACAATAACATCACGCTCCACCATGTTAATCTTAATTGGTTCCACAACACAATTTTTTCTACCATGTTGAACCCTAGCTGGTCTCTTCTCTTATTTTTTTGCTCGGCATAAGAACCTAATTAGTTAAAACTGATATCTGAATGGTTAAATATCTCATCTAATTTGTCAACAACAGTGAGATTCATAGTTAAAACTAACGTGAAACCTTTAAAATCTACTTTAATCAATGGTTAAAAGCTTTGAAAAAGAGAAATAGAATACATATTATGGTATCATTTAATACTGTCGATAAACCCTAAAAAATTAGAAAACATTTAATTTAGATTGAATTGATAAATGTAAAAAAATTTGGAAATTTACCATATTAAAAAAAAGTCCCCAGTTTTAATTTATAAGATAAGGGTTTTTTTATATTTATAAAGAAAAAAATCCACACATAATAGAAAGGAAATATTAAAAATAAAGAAAAAATCATAATAAAGAAAAGAAAATAACAAATAACAAAAATTATTAACTATCTCCTCTAGGGCTATGAATTCGAAACCTTCCTACCCAAACTCTCCGGAGAACCAAACCAAATCGACCCAAATACCCACGACAAACCAACAATAGACAGCGCAACGAACAGCGAAAGACGTGAGAGAAGACATTACGTAATCAACGTTGTCAGAATTAAGGATAGTTTCGGTAACACATCAAAGACAAGATAAACGAAAGATACAGAACCTGATTCATTGCTTCCCTGATGATGTAACACCCCATAGAAAGATGTACATTATAAACTATAAAAAGCATTAAAAAAAAAAAACTCCCCAAGATTTTAAAAAAGAAAAATAAAAAGGAAAACAGCAACACAAGAAGAGATGGTATTTGTGATTGTGGAGGAAGTTGACCTAGAAGAAACCATTTCTTGTACAAAGATTTTTTAACTCTTTCCTTTCTTAAGCACGGTATCACGTAGCTGCTTATGGCCTAAATCCTTATCCTGAGTTTTTGTAAATGCTTCCCCAAGCAAGAGAGAACATTACCCATTTTCAAACTCATCTTTTCTTCTTCTTCTTTTTCTTCTTCATCATCCATTCCAATCACACTGATAATTGTTGTTGAAACTATTGACTGCTCCCAAGAGTTGGTTTCCAAGATCCTGTTGAACATTCGGATCCCTGACCATCATCCCAACTCTTCCGTTCATAAGACCATTGTTCCCGTTAATATTCATTCCGTTAGCCGCCATCGACTGACCCATCCCGCCGCCACCAAACCCACCAGCACCTCCAATACTTGTGTTGCTGTTTTGACCATTCATCATCAGAGCACCAGAGCTATTTACATTATTACCCCCTTTCCCATCGTTCCCGAAAGACCCACCAACCATGCTTCCTCCTGAGCTATTATGAGCTTGGTTGTTCATCAGGATCTCGTTAAGTATCTTCTGCACCGAGCTAGACTCGCTCGCTTCAGCCTCAGCCGCCGCCGCAGCCTGTTGATTAGCAGATGATATCCCGTTTTGAGAAGGGTTATTGTTGTTGTTAGATGAGGAAGTTGGAGACTGAAACGATGGCAGGTTGTGTTGTTGTTGTTGCTGGGATGATGGCGCCATTGTACCGGAGGAGCTAGGTGACGGCATCTGAACTGAGTTTCCACCGTAGGGACTGTTCGGAGGATTGTAAGAAGCATTCTGATGCCTTTGCTTCATTGAATTCTGGTGGATTAGTCCGGCGATGCTGCTTGTGGAGGTTGAAGCAGAAGCTGTGTTAAATGCATAGTTTACGCCGTTGTTTGGATTATTAATCTGCATTACTGAACTTTGCCCGGAACTCTGATCGTTGTTTGTATTCTGAGCAACTGTTTGCTGCTGTTGCTGCTGTTGCTGCCTTAGCTGATCATTGGGTTGCTGAGGAGAAGGACCAGGTAATGCAGATGAAGGGCCTGTTCTCCGAGGAAACTTGGCCAAACTCTCTGTACCAAATCGAAAAACACAATTAGAAAGATTGACACAAGATATTTATCAGTCACAAGTTATATAAACTACAGTTTTACTTTACTCCAAGATGCGAAATAAAAAGATGAACCTAATACATGAAGAAGACGAGATGCTATCAGATGAAAAAGACCTTTTTTTAGAGGTAGTCACATTAACTTACCGATTGGTCCTGTTCTTGTTTCTCTGCTATAATCTATCAAGTCTTTCATACTATTTACCACCTCCGAAATCTACAATATTAGCAAAAGATCAACGTGGATTAGCAAACATGGTCACTAAGACTATTACTATCATTTTCAAAGTTGAACTTCCACTGAATACAAGTATCTAAAGTTTTATATTCATATCGAGACATTATTCATATATACCTGTAAACACCGAACATATCTCTTCGTGTATCCCAAATCATTCACGAGTGGTACTTCCAGGGCTTTTGCCAACTGTCTAGCAGATGCAACAAACCTGCAGAACAGTGACAGCACATCAGAGATCGCCGATAGAAAAGGTCGAATCACAGTGATTTGTTTCAGCAATCTAACAACAAAAAGAGCGGAAAGTATACATGTTGCAATTATTCTGTAATTCCGGGAGAGCAGAATCTGTTGTTGCATTTTGAGCGGCTTGTTGATACTTCTGAGCTGCCGATCCAAGCTGACTAACCTGTACATGAAAATACAAAATAGATGATTATCCAAATTTGCAAACCACAAAAAAAGGAAAAGTAAAGTGGTGATTGTAGTTACACACAAACACAAAATGAAAGTAAATCAGACTAGAATAGTGTTAAGACAGCGAATCCTATCCTAACACATTCTGGATTTAGTTTTGTTAAAAACATAAACCATACATGAAATTTTTTCATAAAATGGAAACAGAGAAAAATGGTTAATATTTCTGAAAGTTACCTGTGGTATCAAAAGCCTTCGTGGAATAAGTTCTTCATGCCGCCGAGCACAAAATTCCCAAGAATATATCTGAGAAGGAACATACAAGTACAAAGGGCTCAGAGAGGAAAATATTGGTATAGTAAGTAGTCTGGTAAGACCGTAAGAGAGAGGGAAAGAAAGTAGCTTGAAGAACCTTAAGATCTGGAGAGAAAACGATTCGAAGTTGGCCATCACGAACAACTCGAAGATGCTCGAATACACTCTCTTGTGTAGCTTTTGCATACTCCAAGACGATTTGACCAGACGAGTTTTGAGATTCCCTTGGCATATCGACGTATAAAAGTTCTTCCAAAGTACCACTTTCGTACTTTATCTTAAAAAGCCGGGGGAGGACTTCGGCGGTTGCCTCTAAACAATGAAAGACGCAAAGCAGAACAAAGGATGAGTAAAGAAGGAATATTCCATAAGTAACTACACAGAAATACTCAGCACAAGAACTGATCATCTAAATAACATACCAAATCCACGTCCAGGCTTTCGGTTACATATCTCACAGTGCCACACATCCTGCAATGTTTGTGAACAAAAATACCCATGTAAAGAGGTATAACATGAAACAAGTACCTAGTTTATTCAAAACAGCTGCCTTGATTGAGCAAACGAAGATGGAACTAGATGAGAAAGACAATCACTTTCACAATCGTAAGACATATCAAAGAGCAAGTTCAATGAGCAGTAAACCTGAGGGAAAACGCCAGTTGTTTGCCGGCCACTGCCATACATAGAAACGCACCATCTCTTTTTAGCATTAGGAGCAAAGTACTCAGCTACAAATTTTCTCCAGAACTCGATGTTATTGTCCTGCATTTCATAGCAATCATGAAGAAGAAACACTAGGCTGAAGGAAAAAGAAATAATTCATTTACAGTAAGAAGCTTTACTTCAGGCCTATGTTGTTGTCGGTACATATACTGTGTAAGACGCTGAGCACCCATGCCCGGTTCATACACTGGTTTCAGAGGTGGCCTCAGAGGTAAACTCTGCTGTTGGAACTGCTGTGGTAATTGAGGACGCTGTTGAGGCATTGATTTCAGGAGTTGTTGCTGTTGAAGCTGCATAAGTCTCTGCTGGTGAAATATGTTCATTTGCGCCTGCGGTGATTGCCCCGGTATTTGAAGAAACTGCTGTTGTTGTTGTTGTTGTTGCTGCTGTTGCTGCCTCTGCTGCTGCTGCTGCTGTTGGAGAAACAATGACTGCTCTGAATGTTGAGGCTCCATTTTCACTTGCGCCAAGCTTCTCATGGCCTGAATCTGCTGCGGTTCCAACTTCACAGAACCTAAGTTTCTCAACATTTTCTGTTGCGGCTGACCGTGCTGCTGCTCGTTCGAAATCTGACCAGGCTCCATCTTCACAGGTCCAACACCTCCACGCACTGTCGGAAACTGCTGCTGCTGATGTTGTTGCTGCATTGACTGCTGTTGAAAACTCTGAGGCTGCTCCATTTTCTTATTCCGTTGTTGTTGCTCTGCAAGCAACTGGTTAGACGAAACGTTCGAGAATTGCTGACCCTGAACCTGAACTTGACCCGATGAGCGAGGAGACACCATACTCGGGGCATTAAAAGACGACAAGCCGCTAAACCCGAGGTCAGACTCAGCCCCTCCACTGGAGTCCATGGAGATCATTGAGCCGGGGATGCCATTTACAAAAGACTGGTTGTTGAGTAAGGAAGATATGTTTGGCGCGTTCCCAAGCATACTCATAGACATGTTGTTACCGAACTGAGTCCGCGGAGAAACAAGTGAAGGAAATGCCGGTTGCGAAGGAAGAGGAGCTCCTCCTTGGCCTCCTAAAAGAGACGGCGGAACACTTTCGCCACCGCCAACTGGATTAGGCGGCTCTGATGGCACCATACTCAAGTATTACACAATCAAACACACAACAGATAGTTTACTGTGTTGAAACTGGGCCTGATAAGTGTAATCTCAGCTCTGTGTTGGAGCTTTAATGCACAGAAACTCCAATGAAGTTGAAACGAGACCAATGATAAGCTCCAGAGTCGTAAAACACACGAAACAGATGTAGAGAAGAGGAGAATCTGAGTGGTGAGGTTCCGTATCGAACATTCTAGACCAAGCAGTGTCTCCAGAGGGAAGTCGAACCTCTGTGGATGCAATGGAAATTTCAGATCCAAATTAAGCAAATCTACTCCATTCGAACTCAGCACCTTGAACAAAACAAAAAAACCCAGAATCACGAAACTGAGAATAAAGCAAAACAGAAGAAGAAGAAGCTCGATCAAAACCCTAATTGAGAAAGAAAAAAACAGAGATACTAAGTGAAGAAGATGAGAACCATCTAATATCTTACCAGAGCTGGAATTGAAGAATATTGTCTCCGATAAGGCTCGAATCAAAGAGAATGGTAGAAATCAACTCCGTTTAAATACCTTGACGGGTAAATCAGAAATTAGAAATCTTGAGAGAAAAGAGGAAATCAGTAGAAAGCTAGACGAAGGAACTTGTTCATCTGCTTCTTCTTCTTTTTCTTCTAGGGTTTTTTTGTTCTCCGTTTTGGGATAAACCGAAAAAAAAAACAAAAAGAACCAAAAACAATTCTCTGCCGCCTACAAATTGTGTTTCTGCGTTTATTAAATTATACCTTTTTTAGCTCTCAGAGTATTGTGTCCTGTTCTTCGCTGTAATCTTTTAGAGAGAGAGAAGAAGATGAAGAGAGAGAATAGTGTCCTTGCGGACGTCAAAATTGTATTCGATCGGATTTATTTCATTCCCTTTCTTACTTTTTCTTTTTCAGTCTCTCTCTCTCTCTTCTCCTTCAAATGAAGTCAATGACATGCCCTAGAAATGTTTTTCTCGCCATTTTTTTTTTCAGCAATCATTTTTTTTGTTCCTTTTGTTTTAATGTTTTAAGTACGTATGTTTTCTCACAATTTTTTTCTTTTGACAAACAATTATTCTCTAAACAAAACAATAAATTCTACTTTCTCTATTTAAAAAATACTAATAATATTTTAACATAGTTATAAAATTTTAAATATAAAAATATATTCAATTCATTATATAAAATTTGATATTTTTGTTAGTTAATAGATACAACTAATTGATAACTATAATAAATTTATAGATTATATTTTAAAATTTTTTTATCATTTAAATTTTAAAACTTGTCAAAATTATTTGCTTATCACAAAGAATTATAAATAAATTAAATTTTTAAATATCAGAAAAAGATAATTATTTTCTCTTTCTTTTCTTATTTTTCTAAAAAACTTGTTTTTTGTGTATACACTACAAAAAAAGGATTGATTACATCAATTAAATTGTATCACAAAACCAAATGATAGAAATTTTAAATACTTATTAATAAATGATATAAAATAAATGATTTAACATTATTTATCGTAATTGATGTTTTTATTGATTATTTAACTTCACTTCAATAAAATTGATATAAATTTATATTTGTTTATATCACTTAAATAAAATTAATATAAAATTATGTATTCAAATCAGTTAAATAATCGCTGTAATCAATAATTTTGGTTAACATCATTTAAAAATGATATAAGTTTTATATCAGTTAAAACTGACGTAGCTAATTTTTTGTACTTTGTCCCACATCGCTAGTTGATAAAAATGAAAGAGAAAACATGTCTATATATATCAAAACCTAAGTATCTAATATTTATATTTACTAGCCAATAAAATTAATTTTAAATTTTTTGGTCTTTTAATAAATTATTGATTCATAAATTGTCAGATTAAAATAGTATATTATTATAAATATTTATGAAAATAATAATAAATTTAAATTATTTTTAATATCTGAATAGAAACATAGTATTAAACTAAACTAATTTTAACATCATTTATTATAATTGTCACAAATAATAATATCATTTATAAAAATTGATGCAAACGATGACATCAGTTTTTTTGTAATTGACACATATTGACATCGATTTCAACAATCGATGTAAAAATAAAATATATTTGCATCAATTAATAGCTAACTGATATTAATTATTTGCATCGCCACATTCGGAGTCAGTTTTACAAGTGATGTAAAACTTGTTTGTATCATTTATAACTAATACAAATATTTAAAATAAGTGATACAAATACATCTGTTTTATTGTAGTGATATCTTATCTTTTCAGTGTTCGGGCTCTTACTGATACTGTGAGAGGACTTTTGCTTTGCTTTTTCTCTTTTCCTTTTAATAAGTTTCTCATCCATGGTTTAAGGATCCTCTTGAGCCATCATGGTGGTGAAGCTTTGGATTATGGTAACGCTAAAATAATCTAGTAGTATATCTGTAACATCCCGGTTTCGCTAAACCGGCCTGTTATTTTTTTTCTTTAATGTTTGAAGCCCAAAAGTCTGTTAAACCCATTAGGTTATAAAAACCCTAACCCTAGAGTCCCTCTTCCTCTATAAAGAGTTAGAGAATCATAATTGTCATCACAATTCCCAAAAGCACTCAGAGATAGAACCTAGGAACCCTAACCGAGCAAGCCACCGCCGCTGTTGCCGTTCACCGCCGTCGAGGAGAGCCACTGCCGTTCATCAGTTCCGAGCTGCCGTTTTCTTGAATCCTTTGTCTTCCGTCGTTAGATCCCTTAAACCTTAGATCCCTTTTAGCTTTCAATCGATTAGGCAAAGGTGAGGATGTATCCATGCCTTCCCTTCCATAATATCTTCCGCGCTTGTCTCTGGTTAAGGATAAGCGGATTTCCTTCCCCTGCAGATTGCGCTTATGGCGTAACTTGTAGTTGCTTGTTGTGTGCTTTGATTTACTTTTACTTGTTTCTGAACATAGATCTAGGACCACGGTTAATATTGTTGATTGCTGTTTGATGTTTGATTGCTTGTGAGAATTGTGGGTTGCATTGCATATAGAGTGTTAATAGCACAATTGCATTAGGAGCCGAAAGTGATGCAGTTCCACTTATCGGATTGTTGATGTTGAGGTAGATGTAGTTCCTACCTAGACATGAGGTTCGAAAGTGATGCAGTTCTACTTATCGGATTGTTTGGGGTTACGATAGATGCAGTTCCTACCTATACCAATAGTTGAAGTGATGCAGTTCCACTTGTAGGGTTGTTGAGGTTATGGTAGATGCAGTTCCTACTTAGACCTAATGTGATTGCTTGTTGTTGTTATGGTAGATGTAGTTTCTACCTAGGCATATTATGATTTGTTTGTTGATTGTTGATTATGAAATAGTTGTGATTGCTTGTTCGTTTAGCTGATGGCTAGTGACATGTTTAGGTTGTGATATGTGTGGTGGACCACATGTATGCATTCTCCTGGGTAATCTAACATCCCCTCCCTGTCCCTTTTCCCCCTTGCACAGGTGAGCAGGAGCAGCAGCAGTGATTGGCGCTTGATGGTGGTGATTGGTTCTTTAGTTCGATCCTTGGGGAACCTAAAACACTTAGCTTTCTATTTCAAATGATTTTCAGTTGGTTTTGAGACTTGATTATGATTTATTTGAGTTTAACTTGGTTATTTGCAAGACTACTTTGAGTTTTATTTATGAAAGAGTATTGATTTTGAATTGAAGGAGTAGTAACTTGGTTAGAAAGTTAAGTGGGTGGCACGCCGTCTTAAAATGATGAGAGGCGGGTGTTACAATATCTCCAGTAATTTTTATTTGCCATATCTGGATCTAAAGACGACATAGTGCAACGAACCCGTCCTTCAGCTTTACTCGTGGTGATTCATAGTTCATAATAGTTTTGGTGGTCTATACATGCATTCGTGTTGGAGTTTTGTCCAGTGAGGGTGAGAAGATTGATGGAGGTGACTTGTAGTGTTGAACAAGCAGATATTTCTTTCCCATTTTGTGGCTTGCTTTGAGGACGGCGGTGGTCGAAGTCTAATGGAAGTATGGCATGGTACAGCCTTTTCTCCCATTTGCTTTTGTCTGACATTCGACTAAATTTGCGCTACTCATCACCAAACTGGCATCTTCTTCCGATGGTGTTTTCCAGTATTTAAGGCAAAGTTACCTTCTTTCTTCCCACTCGGTCTCTCTCACAAATCTCTCAGATATCACTTTTGTAGATAATAAATGTTTGGTAGCAAATTATGGAATGTATGTGGTGTAAAAATGCAAATTTTACAATATGGTGAACTGATATTTGCAAAGTAAAATATATAAATAAATCAAAAAAATATTAAAATATTATTAAAATGAAATGAGAGATATGAGACTTTTCTATTTTTATGTTTTTAGTTCATAGTGCTCATTAATTTTAATTAATATTGAGCAATTATGATCAATTATTGAAAATACTTGATTTTTGACCAATATTTCTGATCGTTTGACTAAGAAAACTTATTATTTTTGAGTTTTGACCAAGTTAAAATTTATATAGTGATCAACTACATAAATAATAATTTGATACAAAAAAATTATTGGACCAAAGTCCATCTACCCTGAAATTACACTTAAACCCAAACCAGAGTTCGAGCCACTCTTGACTTGTCTTGGTGCACGTGAATATGATTTAACATGAATTCTCTTTTCTGTACAATTACCTTATGGTCATTAATTTTGTTAGGATTTCTCCACAATAGTCACTATTCCATTTTATGTCCTTGAAGTAACTAACATAAGATAAGCATTTTTTATTTATGCAAACTCCATTTTTGACATCTGAGTACACTCCAATATAGTGTTCGCTTTGATAAACTTATCGGCTATCAAGTGGTTATTCCCTCGTAAATATGTTGGAAAGTTGCCCGGAAGTATATCAGTGCAAGCCTTAAATTCGAGTTTCAACATTCTCCACATGAATAGAAACGACTCTATACATATGAAGATTTAGAAAAAGACTTTTGAGAGTACAATCACGAAATTCACTTCATATGAGTCGGTAGCATTTTTCACTCTTGAACCAGCCATTGTTAATAGCTGTCAGATTTACACGACCAGGAGATGAACATGATGTCTTGAACCCCTTCCCCCCAAGCTTTGATGTAAACTAAGAAAATATCTATAATATAGATTCTCTCACAGAATCAGGCTCTCTATTGTATTTATTTTAGATGTGAACTTGCCTAGTAGTGAACAAAAAAAAAAGAACTTGCCTAGTAATCATGAGTGAACTTGGAGAATCTCATCAAATCAAAAATTTTAAATATGATTAACAATTAAAATTAATCAAAAACACACAAAAACGAAAAACTATCATA